GACAAAAATATAAAATGTGGCGGTGTGCTGCCCACAGATGTGCCTGTCTTTTAATCGGCTGAACAAGCTCAAATGTTGGCAACTTTGTAATAAGCAAAACAAAACAACTCCAGCTATTCATTATACTGATTCCTCAACTTGTCAAAAGTGGCAGTTCCGTGTCGAAGTATCTTTAATCTGTAATAATTAGAGCTAAAGTACACAAACATACGCGCAAGCTTTTTATTTAGCACATTTGTTTTTATCTTGAAGTCATTTTAACATCCTTCCTATGGCTCACATTTACTTTTGTTCTCGTCCTTTCATGGATTATTCGCATTCCACACGTTATTTGGTTCAATAAACTAACAGCTTCGACTGTTCTAGAAATATTAAACCTCGTCTAAACGCCCACGTTGTGAAACACAAACAGGTCATGCTGGTTATAACAAAAAGGACAGCGAGGGGGAAAAAATAGGCTGTTTTTTTGTTTACTTACGTGAATGGAGCTGTGAGGCGGGCCTTGTGACCGCGTGGACCAATAGCGTTGCCCGAAACCGTTGATTGACGTCATTATTAACCAATGACTGAAGAGTGCAGCTGGACACGCTCGACCATCGCCGTATTTCCCACTTTCTCACAGAAAAACAGTGAGTTGGACAGTTTTTAGTTAAACGACACGAGCAAATCGACAGAATATGTTGTTTTTTTAATAAACCGTATTGAAGAGAACCGGAATAACTTCTTCACGGCGTAGTTTTTTTTGTGAGGCTGGGGAGTCTGCCCGACCTGACAGCTGCTTTTCCCGTTTAAGTTCAGCGGTGAGTAGTGCAGCAAACAAACAGGAAGCTAGCTTAAAAAAAAATCACCTAAACAGCGTCATTTACTTAACATCGTTCAATTTAAGTGTAACCCAACAAACACTAAAACGTTAAATATATGTTGTAAGATAGTTCAGAGGTGAATAAAAGTATCTTTACTGACGAACTACTACATTTTGAGCTAAGAACCGTCGTAAGTAAGAAGCCACGCGGGCATTTGTGATGGAGAGAGAAAAACAGTGTCGGATGTTTGTTCACGTGCTGCGTTCAGGGACATTCTACCAGCTCGGAGTTTTGACGACCCGCACGTCGCTGATTTAAAGAACGTCAACCGTTAGTTAAAAAAAAAAAAAAAAAAGAAGAAGAAGTGGGAACTGATGTGGATTGTAATTTGATCACTTCATTTTATTGTGAATTGGAAAAGTACTGAGTGTTGCTTCTTTACGTGTTGATTTATCAATATGTCTGTTATTCAGTAAAATATCTTCTTTCAACTAGTCATCCTCCATCCCACTCCGTCCTCACTTCAACTACCTCCATCTCCATCCAAATATCTCCTCTTTGTCTGTCTCCTGGCAGCTGCATTTCTAACATCCTTCTACCAGTATACCCACTGTCCCTCCTCTGGACATGTCCAAACCATCTCAGTCTGGTCTCTCTAACTTTATCTCCCAGTTGTTCAACCTGTGATGATCTCATTCCTGATCTTCTCCGTCCTTGTCACTCCTGAGGAGAACCTCATCATCTTCATTTCAACTTCCTGTTCTGTCTTTTTGTCCATGTCTCTGTCTCCAGACAATACATCACAGCTGGTTTCACCACTGTCTTGTAAACTTTTCTCCATCCTATCTGGATTATTCCCCTTTTCACCTCTTAGCGTAACATTAGCTAAAAGCCAAAATTAAATAATGCTAGCTGCAGATTGCAAATTTATAGTTATTTGCCAAACGTAGCAACATTTCTGTTGGTCAAAAGTAGCAAAAGTCCAAGCGTATTATGAGAAGCCAAAGGTAGCAAATTGCTAGCTAAAATTATCAAAACACAAGCTTACGTCTAAATACAGCAAGATGCTAGATAAATGTAGCAAAACAATAGCTATAAGTTAAAGGTAGCAGAATGCTAGCTATGGTAAATCTATCACTACACTTGCTAAAAGCTAAATGTAGCAAAACAATAGCTATAAGTTAAAGGTAGCAGAATGCTAGCTATGGTAAAGCTATCACTACACTTGCTAAACGCTAAAGGTAGCAAAACAATAGCTATAAGTTAAAGGTAGCAAAATGCTAGGCTAAAGTTATCACTACACTTGCTAAAAGCTAAATGTAGCAAAACAATAGCTATAAGTTAAAGGTAGCAAAATGCTAGCTAAATGTATCACTACACTTGCTAAACGCTAAAGGTAGCAAAACAATAGCTATAAGTTAAAGGTAGTAAAATGCTAGCTAAATCTTATACTACACTTGCTAAACGCTAAAGGTAGCAAAACAATAGCTATAAGTTAAAGGTAGTAAAATGCTAGCTAAATGTATCACTACACTTGCTAAAAGCTAAATGTAGCAAAACAATAGCTATAAGTTAAAGGTAGTAAAATGCTAGCTAAATGTATCACTACACTTGCTAAAAGCTAAATATGGCAAAACAATAGCTATAAGTTAAAGGTAGCAAAATGCTAGCTAAATGTATCACTACACTTGCTAAAAGCTAAATGTAGCAAAACAATAGCTATAAGTTGAAGGTAGTAAAATGCTAGCTAAATCTTTTACTACACTTGCTAAACGCCAAAGGTAGCAAAACAATAGCTATAAGTTAAAGGTAGTAAAATGCTAGGCTAAATCTATCACTACACTTGCTAAAAGCTAAATGTAGCAAAACAATAGCTATAAGTTGAAGGTAGCAAAATGCTAGCTAATTGTATCACTGCACTTGCTAAAAGCTAAATGTAGCAAAACAATAGATATAAGTTGAAGGTAGCAAAATGCTAGCTAAATGTATCACTACACTTGCTAAAAGCTAAATGTAGCAAAACAATAGATATAAGTTGAAGGTAGCAAAATGCTAGCTAAATCTATCACTACATTTGCTAAAAGCTAAATGTAGCAAAACAATAGATATAAGTTGAAGGTAGCAAAATGCTAGCTAAATGTATCACTACACTTGCTAAAAGCTAAATGTAGCAAAACAATAGCTATAAGTTGAAGGTAGCAAAATGCTAGCTAAATCTATCACTACATTTGCTAAAAGCTAAATGTAGCAAAACAATAGCTATAAGTTAAAGGTAGCAAAATGCTAGCTAAATGTATCACTACACTTGCTAAAAGCTAAATGTAGCAAAACAATAGCTATAAGTTAAAGGTAGCAAAATGCTAGCTAATTGTATCACTACACTTGCTAAAAGCTAAATGTAGCAAAACAATAGATATAAGTTCAAGGTAGCAAAATGCTAGCTAAATGTATCACTACACTTGCTAAAAGCTAAATGTAGCAAAACAATAGCTATAAGTTGAAGGTAGCAAAATGCTAGCTAAATCTATCACTACATTTGCTAAAAGCTAAATGTAGCAAAACAATAGCTATAAGTTGAAGGTA